GAAATAGGTCCAAAAAGGTTAACACCCTTCTTCAAGAGGAAAGGAATGTCAATACAGCTTAGGCACCTGGAGGGCCTTTATTTATTCTTCCCAAATTCTCTTGGAAGAACTGTCAAGGGATTTGCTAGAGCGCTCTCCTAGACTAAAAGCTCTGAGGAGGTCACAGGGACACACTTTGACAAATTTTCCAGGCTTTAAAGTCAACAACAAAACCCCCAAAACCTTTCATGCTTTAAAAAAGTACACGAATAGAAATCCATACTACTCCATAGCAAGTCAGGTTTCACCTTCCCTTGCCTGTGACATAAATCTCACAGGGTAGACACAATAACTGGAGCATCTTCCTTTTTGGAAACTAACCATTTGCAGAATACTTCACTGATCATACAGCTGCAAGTGTCAACATTGACAACAGTGAGACAATGGCACTTTTGTATATTTCCTACTGAAAAAAAATCAAGCATTTTGCTGAAAAAAAAAAAACGGGGGAAAAAAAATAATTTCCCCATGCTTGCAAACACTGTTCAGGACACAAATGCAGTTGTCCACCTGAATGGCTGGAATTTGCTTCGAGTAGAAAAGCAATGGTTGCACCTCAAGGCAAGTGTCCTTACAGGTCTGTAACACGCAAAGATTATAGAACCCCAGTATAGCTATTATCATAGAATCACAGAATCATAGAATACCAGGTTGGAAGGGACCTCAAGGATCATCTGGTTGAACCTTTCTTGGCAAAAGCAAGATGGCCCAGCACCTTGTCCAGCCAAATCTTAAAAAGTATCCAATGTTGGGGACTCCACCACTTCCCTGGGAAGATTATTCTGAAGGCTGATTGTTCTCACTGTGACAAATTTTTCTCCTGTGTCCAACTGGAATCTCCCCAGGAGTAACTTGTGCCCACTACCCCTCATCTTTTCCACGTGACTCCTTCTTAAAAGGCACTCTCTATCTTCTTCGCAGCCACCCTTTAAACATGGTGATAAGGTCTCCCCTAAGCCTTCTTTTCTCAAGGTTGAACTAACCCAGCTCCCTCAGCCCCTCCTCATACGGCAGGCTTCCCAGGCCTCTGATCATCTTTGTGGCCCTTCTCTGGACCCCCTCCAGCCTGTCCACGTCTTTTTTGCATAGCGGGGACCAAAACTGAACACAATATTCCAGGTGTGGCCTGGAAAGTGCCAAGTGGGTTAATGACTTCTTTGTCTCTGCTGGTGATTCCCTTGTTGATGCAACCCACCATCCTGTCGGCTTTCTTGGCCGCAGCAGCAGCACACTGTTCACTTATGTTGAGCTTGTCATCCACCAGGAGCCCCAGGTCCCTTTCCACAGAGCTGCTCCCCAGCCGGGTAGATCCCAGCCTGTGCTGCACTCCTGGATGATGTTTTCCCAGGTGCAAGACCTTACACTTGACCTTGTTGGACTTCATAAGGTTCTTGTTAACCCGCTCCTCTAGCCTGTTCAGCTGTTCCTGCAGGGGGGCTCTCCCTTCTGAAGTGTCCACTTCCCCACTCAGTTTGGTATCATCGGCAAACTGTAGACTAGATATTTAATGGTTCAGTAATAATGATATAGGAATCTCTCAAAATACTCCTTTATTCATGCTATCATGTTTTAACCCACAAAGGAAGCTTTGTAAGGAGCCTTCTGTTATCCAGCAGCCCCAGACCCACATCAAGAAATAAACACATTGGAAGTTACTGAGCTATTTCAAACTCAAAGGAAAGTACTCAGTATTTTGTCTTCTCCCAGCAGGCAAGAACAGGAAAAATAACTTATTTCTAAACTAGCAAAATAATTTCTACCATCTTACACCATCTTTTTTGGCATTTCTAGCCGCAATAGCAAGACAAATCAAGCATCAAGCCCCCAGGTAAGTAGAAGAATCAGCTGATTTTCACAGCAGCTACAGAAAAACAAGGGATAAATAAAATTAACATGATCTTTGCCAGTCATGACTGTTCTTCTTGCCCATCCTGTCTCTTTATATTTGAGCTAGTTTTGGCAGAGCAGACTTGGGCACTGCCCAGGCACAAGTAAGGACCACCACACCCAGAGCCACGGGCTGAGCCTGCGGCACAGCCAGCAGGACCCTGATATCCCAGCCTGCGAGCGCTGCCTGTGGGAGGTATTTTTGTTAGTGCAGCAGCAGCCAGAGAAGCCCTCAGAAGAGATGCACTGCACCAACAGTTGGAAATCCGGCCAAGATGAACTGTTGCAGAAGCCTGTAAGAGCTGTGGTTTTAGGTGCACTTGCACACAACTAAAGCTCGACTGAAACAAAGGTTGCCATTCTGTCCTTTACCCCCGAGCTGCTGCTGCTTCCAAACCCTTACCTCCCCGGTGCTCAGAGCTCACAAATTAACCCAGCCTCAGAGAAAGGACTCCAAAACTGTGATTTTAGATAGGGCTTTTGTACCCTTGCAGGATGGCTCCACCGTGTGACAAAAGAGGAATGCTGCACCCACATGGAAATGTACTCAATAAAACAAAGCCTCCTTTCTCAGCAGGTGGTCCTCTGCCAGTGACTTAATTCATTCTCGCTTAAAAAAAAAACTCTGAGCGGTTCTTGGACAAAGACCTAGGATTAGCAAGTGAAATACAGCCTTCTTTTTAACCCCTTTGTAACTTCTACACAGAAATGCTGCTTTGTGTTTCAGAACTCCGCTGCTTAGCCTGGAGAAGGAGGGCTGTGGGATAAGTGGCAGTTGCACAGCATATTTGAAATAAAGGTTTAATTGTGGCAGCGTTTCAAATTTTCATTCATTCAAGCACTGTATCCCTTTTATAGTAAGAGTTCATTATTTCCATCACCCCTGTCCACGTCAGTCAGTTACACGTTTTCATTTCCAAGCCAAGTTAAAATTTATAAAATTTACAAAGTTGGTATCAATGAAATAAAATTTGTACCAACTCAAGTAGTTTATCTCCTTTAAAACAATGAGTAAGATGTTATTTACTCTGTGGTCTACACTCAGAAGCTTTTGAGCTATGTGTGTGGCTTGCAACCATATGGCTACATCAGGGGAGCCTTGACACTTACACGCCAGAGATGCTACCTCACTTCCTTCCTCCCCCGCTCCAAACCTAGCTCTCCTTTTTCGGCTGTTCTTTCCAGATCCTCTCCCAGCGCTCATAACCTTCCTTCGTTTTACTAGCATATTAACCCTCTTCATCCTGGAAACCTCGTCCCTTTGGTGCCCATTTGGCCGCACCTAGCTCATACACGTTTCCATTCTGGGACCTACTTCACTGTCCCCCTACCTGGGCCAGCAGTAATTGCCCTTCCAAACCTGGCTCCCATCAGCTTTTCAGCTTCGAAAGAAAATACAGCAATGGTGCAGGGGATGGATGGAGTTAAAGCAGCCCATATGGTGCTGTGCTTTGCATTTGTGGCTAGAACAGTGTTGATAACATACCCCTGTTATGGCTACTTCTGAACAGCACTGGCACAGCATCAAAGCTTTCTCTCCAAGCTTCCTGTTCAGGATGTGAGGATCATCTCTAGTCTAAAGGATAAAGTTTAGCCAGCGCAGGAGGCTTCACATGGCAACAACGGAGGAGTTGAGCAGGCACCAGTGTGAGTTGCAGAGGTGGTCGCCCCAGGCCCCGGGGCAGGCACTGCCCAGGAGCCATTGGTGGGCACACCTGCCAGGGACCTGATGCCACAGCCTAGTCAAGGTCCCAGAGGAGGTCTGTGATGTGCCAGAAGTGCCCTGCCAGGGCCACAGCCAGCGGGACAGCGCAGGAGGAGTGTGAAGGGCTTCATGTCAGACAGCAGCTGCCACACCACACCACGCCATGCCGTGCCCCTGCCCTGCCTGCCCTGAGGCCCAGCTCCACCTGCCTCAGCTCCACCACTGCCCTGCTCACCTCCCTTGTCTGTACCATGTGGAGTCTCCTGCCTCAGCCAAACTTCATCCTTTGGGCCTTGCTATGAGGCAGATGAGCCAGTAAAAGTGGTAAGCCATATGCTAGTCTTCCTCTGCCCTCCCCCTACCTATAGATTAAATCAGATAATCACGTGAGAGCATTGAGCTCTTACTACTAACCGCATGCAGGTGTGAAGATTGTTTTACCACTTACATAAAAGTTTAGATCTTTAGTCTCTACCACAAGAAAATAAACTTCTGTAGTTTAGCTAATGAAAGGGAGCTATTTGATAAAGCTTCTTCTAGGCTCAAATGTAATTAACTTACCACAGCTTATTAAATTACTGTCAGTTGAGTTGCAATAAGTCCAGGGCTTGCTCTTAACCTAGGGTGAATGCAAAGCAATAAGGCTCAGCTTAGACCAAAAAGGTCTTAGATAGGTCTTGGGCACTTAGCATTTGTCACAAGCTAAAAATGTACACTGGGAGCAACCACAGCTCATATGACTAAGTGTAATTGCTTAATGACAGTAAATAACCAGAGCTCTAAGTAGTCAGTCTTTTTGATTATCCTGAGATCACAGGATAATACACTTGGGAAGGAAATTCAATAGGTCAGACCGGCTTGTCCAGGGGTGGACTCAAGAGAAAAAACAATCAAGCAAAGAGATACAAACTTTTTACTGTATTTCCACAATTTTGCACAGTAACCTACCGCGCAGCTGTGTAACATTCACAAATTTCTTCAGTAACAAAATGTAAAATAATAGGGTACAAAAATAAGCACTTTAACTGCTTTAATTCTGCTTACCATGTAAGCGAGAGCAGAGGAGTTATAACCCTCACTAGCTTTTACACCAGACTACTGCTTCCACGGAAAAGCACCATGGTGTGCCAAAGCCTGAAGCCTGACACCTGCTGCCAGACTGCAGCGAGCTCCCCAGGGCTCCCAGCACAGGTGCAGTAGTTGTACCATTTGTGGCACACAGCAGGACCAGACCTAACAGCCCATCCTCCCTCCCCGTTCCCCTCTTCCCCATCATGAAGGCCGGCTGTTTAGAGACGGAGGCAACCCACATTTAGAGGACCTTCTTCAGATTTGATCTTACTAGTCATCCCAAACCAAACAGCAACTAAGAATTTTCTGAGCACTGCAAGATCAATTCGTAACTGATTACGCAGCACCAGGCAGGATTCATCACGCAGTATACTTTTCCTCCCCCTGTTTTTTTGCTTTGTGGTAGTGGTTGTAATCATTATACAGATCCTTAAAGACCTCCCTTACACCTGCTGGTAGCGATGAATTTAAGAACTTGATGTCCCGTTCAATGCAAAGGTCAAGGATGTGATATATCCCTTCTGTGAGATGTTTCTTCACATCTGGGTGCAAAGTCACCTACGAGAAGAACAAAACTGCATTACACTTGAAGACAAAAAAAAGTAAGATCCACAGTCAGTATTAAATGCTGACAACATCTTATCCAGTGCATCAGACCATCTGGAACAGACCATTAGATAAAATCCAAGATTTTGACTTGTGAAATTTATTTTCCTGATCTTTGCAAAGATGTTTTGCAGAACAAGCATCCCCCTTGTAATAGAATCCACAAGAGTGCTACTATACACATTGCTGTGGAGGCAAAGACACTGATCATCTTGGAAACACATGAAAACTCCTCAGCAGAAAAACTGTAATTAAAAAACCCTAAACCACTTGCCCTGGATTACACATTTCAGTAGATTCTGTATGTCTGATATTAGCCGTATGCTACTGAGTATCAGTTTCAAATGAGATTTCCTTCAGGCTACTCCATTGTTTATATTGGGTAGTCAATCAATTTTAACTTAATCACTTAACAACTTGGTATTTATCTAACAATTTGTATCTGAGGACTTCAATGTATAAGCCTTAATAAAAGAAGCCCTCAAAAAGCTCGGGAGATGAGCGCATCCTTGATCTGTTTTAAGTTCAGGAATTAGGTACCTCACCTGAAGTCATGCAGAAAGCTGAAGGAATACAAGGAATGACTCGGGACTCGGGACTCGGTGCCCTGCTCCTGCCATCACCCCTGCTCAACCCCACAACCAGCAGAACCACCAGGACAACCAGGAGCATCAGTGCTGACTCTGGAGTCCTCTGGTGCTCCAGGCTAACTGAAATTTGTCCCCTGCTCACAAATCACTTGCTAAATACTTCACTGCCTGAGGCGGTGCTGGCCTCTGGCATAATCACATTATTTTTGCCGCAGAACCATGTCTTATCTTTGCTGAATCCCAAAATTAGCTTTATGCCTCCAGACCTAAGCCAGTGCACTCCAGACCTAATGAAAATTACATAAAAAGCTGTCATTAAAATTCAGACTTCTTTCTTCCTGAGGCAACTAATAAACTTTCTGCTAATGAAGTGCACTCCTAATCACTGTGACAGGCTCCTGCTCTTTCTGCCCTAAACATAAAACAGCTAATATATTTTACTAGACCTGCTAACATAGCTGGGAAAAACATACAGCAGGCATTAAGGCACATAAGCCTTTCTTTGGAGCTTTGACCCTGAAGAGTCTGCATGTCCAAAAGGTCGTCGTTTTTTCCCCTCTATGTCAGTTGAGCTATTGACTGGTTTATAACAGATGTTATTTCTCCCTATACCACGCACCAAAGTAAGAGAACAGTTGAGCATCACAGCTCCCAGTGAATGCACTGGGCTGGGCTCTCACTTCCTCGGGCAGCAAAATGACTGCAGAGAAGGAGGACAGGAAAACTCACAGCTATTGACAAGATGGACCAGATGTCCCACTCGGGATAAGCGGATCCCTCAGAGCTGCAGTTAATGGAACTGCATCCCTCACATCACAAATTAATCTGGACCCATGCCTTATGTGGGTATTCTTGCTTTGCAGTGCAGTTTCCTCTAAACACCCTCCAATAACACTATGGGAAGCAGAACCAACGATTTAAATGGCTGCCACTACTGGCTGGCAGTTAATTATGCTTGTAAGCGCTTTATGGTCTATATAGTTAGCACAACCAATTTGTCAAGCATTACAGAGCTCTTGATGTGAGACATTAAATGTGTGAAGAGGTATTTCACTATTGCTGAATTAAGCAACAGCTCATAGACAACAAGGGAAAAGCACTGTCAACAGTATGAAAGAGGCTCTAAATGCCACCCACTCCAGCAAGGAACCTTTCTGGATTAACACAAAATAATCCACAAGAATATTTTATTTCCTCCTATAAAGAGGAAGCACTGAGGGAACTGTTACACAACTACTTTAGGATAAGTGACTGTTTAGGCCAGTAGCTTTCACCAGTTTTGGTTTACAGACCCTTAAAAGGGTTCCAGTAAGTGTGCAGATGCCCATATAAAGACTTAAATCTACCAACATGTTTTTCTCATTTCTACCTTTGAGGGACCCCCAGGGTCTTCAGATCACAGGCTGAAAGCCACTGACCTGGCCTCAGAAGAGATGAATGGTTAAAGAAGTTTTCCCCTCCCTCTGCAGAGCAACATGCAAGATGTGTACAAGTTCCCCTTAAGACAGGCATGCTGAGGCCTCCCCTTCCTCTGATACCCATCAATTCTCACCAGTCTAATGAGCAAATAAATCATCACCTACTTGTGATCTATCTACTCTGTCAGACAGATAACACCCCTTTGTCACAGCCTCTGGTGGCTCACTACACCAATTCCCCTTTCCACGCCCAAAGGTTCCATGCATACATTACTGATCTGTGGTTTCAGCTATCATCCATCACTTTCCATTTCCCTGTGAAAGTATTGCACAAAACTTTCCTAGAAGTCTCATGAGACTTTGTACTCCTGCTAATACTGAGGTAAGTGTCCTTTCAACTTGAAAAGGTCATTTGACAATTCAAGGCAGGCTTTCAGCCATGAACACATTACAGAGTTCAGAGAGAGCTAAATAGAGCAGAAGTAGTCTTAAGAGTAATTCGTCCCTAGTATTTGCTGAACTCCTATGCTTACTATGTAAACAATAACCAACTCAGTGGGAACACTAAATAACATGGCTAAAAACTGACATATCCTATTATTTTGCTCCCAAACCTTGGAAAAAAGACAGGCAATAGACAAGGCAGCTGAGTTTAACCACTGTAACAACCTTCATGGTTAGTTACACCATTACACCATAATCCTTCAGAAACTTAGCACCAATCAGGATATTTTTGTGGTAAGAAAGCCTAAAAACAAAGACTAAAATGCCTTTCTGTATTTCAGCCCATGCCCAGGCCAGAGCCACAAATAATCAATTTACAGGCACTTGCAACACAAGCAGCACTGAAACCCTGGTGAAATCTAAATCCATTAGGCTGAACAGAATGTCAATTTGATCTTAGGTCTGGATGTGAGAAGCTACTGACCTGGCTCTGGCACCCGTAATAGTAGGAGTAGGTTTTTTTCAGTAAGGATCGGAATGGTATCTTTGGTACAGAAGGAGAATTACTGAAAAGCTAACAATTCTCCAGCTTGGTAACATTTTTTCTATTCACTTGCTTATTTAGACGAGATTAAAAGATATTTTCCAGGAGAATTTTTCTCCATTACTTTGCCAGATGGGGCCCTAACTGCTATCAGTCCTGGACAAATGAGACTAGCTCAGAGAAGAACCTAACTACCTCATGAAAAAGCAACAACCAACATGACAGAAAAGCAAAGCAGTTCTGTAAATAGGCTTTGCATTGTTTTGCCTTAAAAAAATCCACAGCCCACACCTTTAGAAAGTTTTCAGGAGCTGGGTAAGAAAGATTCTCAGGAACTCTTGCTCAAAATGACAGACAGTCTGGATCAAACCCATCCCGCTGAGACACAGCAACTTTTATAACTTCACAGATTTTACAAAACTTAACACAGTTGCCTTTGGAACAGGAACTCCAAAGCCAGCACAATACCACAGCACTTTCAAGATGGATAGGAACGCGTTACCTTCTGCAATTCAGTCACATACTGAGCCACAATGAAAGCAGAAAACACAGTAAAGTCCTCCATTTCTGCAGCAATATGAGTATACATCCGTTCCACCAAGTGTGCACACTTCAGCGTAACTTCAAACTCATCTGTGTTGCCTAAAACAGAAAGTAAGTTGCCAGCTGACATTTGAAGCTTAAAAATATTAGGAAAAAAAAACCAAACCAACGAACCAAAGAACCGCCCAGTCTTCCATGATTCTCAAACTACATGAAGCAAATGCCAGCTTGCCTATTTCCTTGTCTTTTCTTACCAAGCCACAGCTGAGAGGCCCCACACACCCCCACAACACACCATCTCTTACATTGCATCTCTTACAATGGTTATTTTGTAAGAGCACACTGATTCCAACTCCACTTGCACTGCAAGGCAAAAAGTATTTGTTACAGAGGCTGAAGTGCTAAAAGCTGCAGCTATGGTCCCTTCCACTATTCAGTCCCAGCTAGCACTGTGGAAGAAAGAACAAGGAGACAGGAAAATTATATTCTCTACCTACAGAAAATCAGAAGACATCTCTTAGAAACAGCACAGTGAGAAAGCTTTCTGATGAGATCCATATGAGATGTGGAATATAGCAGCAGAAGCCACATCATTGGAGATGTTTAAAGCAGGACTGGAGAGATCACCTGAGAATTTACTCAGTAGGCAGTGAATGAAGAGAACTAACACAAACAAGTGAGAAGAGAAATCTAGACATTACTTTCATGTTATCTCTTATCAAAATAGAACAATCCTGCAAAGATAAACATCATGTTTTTCAACTTGATGATGCCACGTACCCATAATTTTCCTGTGACCCTTGCCTTACGTAAACATATTGCAGAAGCAAGCAAATTCTCAAAGTTTGGCACCAGTTTAACATACCCTTTCCTCTATCACTGAGCCTTTGTTAGTATATTCCTCCATGAAGCATACATATACTTACATTTGCCCGCAGTCGTGGGCAACATATCAGCTGAGATAACTATGAACATGGCATAAGCTGTACATCAATGGAAAGCTGGGATAGAATCAGTCGCAGGCCATGAAGTCAACTTCTCTCAAGAAGTCACCACTATTAATGACAGAGTATATGTGTCCTGACCAGCACAAAGCACAGGATGATCACCTTAATCACTGTGAACATCTCTGACTTGGCTACTTTGACAATGCAAATTCTTTCATACCTTCCAGTAATAAGTCTTTTTTTTTTCCTTCCTTTTGAGAAATTTAACTACAATAATTCCAAATCCTTGACCATACAGACACATCATCTAATCCAAATTGACACTTCAGATATGTGTAATGCTCTGGCTTTATGCTCAGCACAGAACAGTGACAATTCAGGTCTGTAGTAAACATAGCTCCAGTCTCAAGAAGCTTCACTTAGTAGGATCAATTTGGGGCTATAAATGAGGCATATTAGCATGTATCACCAGAGTTCACAGCCACCATGCTTTCAGGCCCAAGGACTGCTAGGAAGAGCGATTTGACATAGCAAGCCTTACCAGTTCCTGTCTACTTGCCAGCCAGTCAGTGAAGAATACCCCATTCACCTGAAGCAGTGCTGTCTGCATGCAGCTCTGCAGGAGCCCCGGTTATCTTCATAAGCCCACAATACTACAAAGCTCATCCTCAATTTTACATAAAGGACAGAGAGGGCTAATGGTTTCAATGCCACAAACAGGTTTTGAGGACTTTGCTTCTGGTGTCAGACTGCCCTGTTCTACATCTCCTCTTCTAGAACGTACAAAATTACAGTGTGTACGTATAAAGCAAAAGTGGAAAAGGTACGGTACCTCTGTCTCCTTTCTGACGTCCTTCATGCATGACAGAAACAACTAGACGATGGAAACTGTTCAGAAAAGATGGTGCTGCTTTCAACAGCACCTGCAAAGACATGAAATAAAACCACCTGAGATTATGCAGTAAAGGGAGTGGAGAGGGTGGAGGTCCACCACCCCATAGTCTGAGGGAAATCAATTGCCGTGAAGGAAACTACCTAGCTTAGAGAGCTGTCAGGAGCAGAGACTATCTTTTCAATCTGCATCCACACAGTATCTAGCACATGAGAATCCTGGAGCAAGACTGCAGTCATGGCCATATTCGAATATAAATAACAAGTAAGCATCATATTAGAGTTACTTCATCTCTGCAAAGCAGCATTTGCTTTAGTACCCTAATGTCTAGGGAACTTGTTCTTGCTGGCAGAGAACCTGTGTAGCCAGACAGATTCACAGAACACAGGGCCCAGTAACACCACAGATCACTGCGTGAAAACAGCCTGGATAGGCAGCTTTCTACCACTGGGTTTTTGTAAGGGCATTTTAGCAACGCGTACTGCCTTGCTTTTAGAATTTGCCATTTCCCCATCTTTTAACTTTCTTCACTCTCTGGCCTAATACAAATGCATGAGGCCCCTTTCCTTTTTTTTCCACCTCTGTCTACATATTCCCTGCAGGAGTAGCTCCAGCCCTGTGCAATTCCTGGCACATCTTCACTTTCCCATGCCAGAAGGCTGACAAGAACACCAGGACAGTACAATGATTAAAGGTCACCAACTTCTAACATGTCTAAGCCCTTTTTTCAAAGGACTGCAGGATCTTGATCTCCAGTAAGAATGAGGCCCTAGAGCCTGAGGGCATTTGTGCTTCTAGAAATCAACCACCAAAAAAAGGGAAACTTTTGTTCTAATCTAGCATCAGCTGTTGATAAGCAAGCTGTTGCCAAAGACCAACAATATAGGCATAAAACAAAGCAGGAGAGCCACTGAAATGATGTGATTTTGAGATTCACAGCCTTTTAAATAACAAGTGGTACAAAGCACTTTCATACTATCAGGACAAATTATTTCAAAATCACTATTAAAAAAGAATTCTCATCACTGGCCTCTGTTGGTTCTTTCTATTTTTTTTCCCCTCCTCCTACCTCCTCACATATACCTTTGGATGACACTGCACAATAGAGAAGAGTACTTCGTGGACTCCCAGGAAGACACCGCGATAGTCTTCTGTCTTCAGATGATCCAGAGGGACTGCTAAAAGAATGTTGAATGCCAATGCCACATGGTGGGGATTCAAGAGAACCCCTTCTCCTTGCCTCAGCAGAGCTGCTACAGTCTCTAGAATAGGCACAACTATGGTGGAAATCAGTGACTGGTCCTGGCAGGCCTCTCTGGTTTGCATCTACAAGAAGGCAGGAAGCAGACAAGGAGGAGTGCATTAGCCACCCATCGCTAGCATTCGCACACCAGAGAACCTTAATGCTCTTACTTGAGTCAATGGAACATGACTGGCACAAGCTGGCCTGGCAGGGAGACTCCTGCTCTTCAGCCATTTTCATGCAACTGCACCCTGAGCGAGGATGTATATGATGCATTTCAAGCAAGCACTGCTGTGAGCGTGGAATTGTAACTACTCCCCAGTCCCCTGACAACCAGCACCTCTTTGCACCTTCTCACATGAATGCACTGATGAAGTTCTCTCTTTTACAAGTATGCAGACCTACCAAAAAAGGGCAGAAATTGCATGCTTACAATTCCCAGGCATTGCAGACCCAACCTCTGACAAATTCTGGTCTAGAGAGACCACCACCATGAGAGAAGACATCACTAGGTTTGTATGCTGTACAAATGAAGGATGGGAAACCTGGGTTTGATTACTTTCAGTTAAGTTTCCCGTTCATAATTCAGTGAATTCATATTATTATTTTTCTAATGTACGTACTTTTTTCTTTTTGTTTTGCTACTATTTGGCTTCTGCTGCGACACATTACCTTCCTTAGACAGGAGGAAGGACAGGAGACTCAGACTCTCTTCTCTGAAGCCTAACAAGTTCCTCCCAACCTCCAGATTACATGGTGCAGTCCCAGAAAATTACCAGTAATAAGAAATGGATAACCTACATGCTGCATTCACAAGAGGAGGTTTACTTGAGGAAGGCGGAGAGGAAGGGTCTAGGCAAAAAAAGCACAGGTGAATCTGGTACAGATTTGCCTAGTAGCCACAAATTTTTGTTCCGGTGTGCCTCCACGCTTGTTAAATGTAACCACTACAGACTCCAACAAATAAAAGGGATAGGTAATAAAGTTACAATTAAGAGATACTTACAGCTAAAGCTGTGATTATCTGCGGGCTGGCAAACCAGAAAGCCTTCTCTTTGTCTCCACTTAATGGGCAGCAGAGCAACAATCTAGTTAGTGTAACAGCTGACAATACTTCCTGCAGAAAGCAGATTGATGATCAGTCATGGGTACAATATGCACTGGCTCCTTTCAAGTACAGAAGAGCTCTTTCAAGGGCAGTGGCAGTTTTGAGCATTACCAGAGCCTTGACACATGAAAGTCCTCCTACCAACATATCTCTTTGGAAATCATGAAGTAAGCAGCAGCTCAACAGAATTCAATATGCTGAGCAGCACTGGCCCAGTGCAATGTACTGCATGCTACATTTATTTTAGAATCAACTTACTGCACAAAAAAGCTTATGTGATTTTTAAGAAAGCAAAGCCTTCTCCTTCACTAGATAACACAGAGAAGCAGGGTGAATACAGGGACATCAGTACACTACACGCTAAGAATGCTGCATTTACATTCTGGCTATTATGACAGACTGACAAAAGAAACAATATCACAAGCTATAGTCAGGTGGCAGGAATTACATGCACAGTACAGGAATTCCAGACAGATTTTCAAAAAGACATTATCAAGAATTGATGTAGCATATCCATGTCTATTTCTGACAAATAAGACAGAGCCAGATAAACCCCCAAGTTTATTCCAAGTTTCATTCTCAAGTAACTGAGCTTTCTACAGCAGGTACAGCTGGCTTTTTTGCTGAAAGCTGCTTAAGCTGCTCTGGAGAAAGACAAAGTGTTTAAAAAGCTACTGAGTGGTATCTGGTTATTACAGAGTGAAAGTCTCTAGAGACACAAATACGAAACACACAGGTGCAGTTCTGGTTTTACTTAAAAACTCCACCATTTCAAAAAGTGCCTTTAACCCTGTTAAGAGCCACACACAAACAGTGGATAAACTCACTGACTGCCAATATCCATTGTGCTAGAGCTCTGATCAGCAAGTATAAAAAAATAATTCACCAGGGCCTGTAACATCACAGGCCTGTCTGACTTCTGTGGATAGTACACAGAATAAAACCTGATGAGTCCTTAAACCGGACAGAAAGTTTTTCCAGTAGGTTCCCATGATCTTTCCATCTCTCTCAATTTACATCCAGAATATATTTCAGCACAGTCACCAAATTAATCTGACCTGACCACTGAACATAAAGCAGGAAGAGGAAAAAAAAATATTTATCAGATGTCATTTAGCCAATGTTTTTTCAAGATACAGAAAACTCAAGACAGACGTTGACAATAAACAAAGCTCATGCCTTACTTTAGCCTTCTGTTGCCAAACATTCCTCATTTCAAGTCCCTGCAGCACCAGCCTCATCACGGTATAAAATTCCTCGGCCGAGCAGTTTCCCAGCAGCTGGACAAGCACCTCCGTCAGCTCCATCTCCATGCTCTGGATCACCCGGGTTGTGATTGCAGGACCTGCATATTCAAGAGACACAAGCATGTCTTAATCAATTCCCAAGACAGGGACTTCCACAGGTAACAACAGGGCAAACTGAACCTTAAAATAGCTCTGTGGGTACCTTTTTAACACTCAAATGCACAGAGGGCCCCACGCTTTCCCTTCACCTCCCTTCCCACTACTGCAATGAATCACTGTTCTCAAGTATTTCCTACCCTAGGGTTCACCGAGCAGGATCATACCAATAAAAAAAGCCTCCAGTAGTACAGAGATACTACAACAAAGGTAGGCTGAACAAGCCACAGGGCTTTACTACAAATGCTGGCCAGAGACCCATCACAAGTCACAAAAGCATTAAGCTGACAAAGTTTAGATCTCTGCTGATTGTAAGTCACACTCCTCACTTACTCAATTATTACTATGTAGAGAGTCCTAGACTTGCTTATATCTTAATTTATTTTGAAAGGCTTGTTTTTTAGTTTAATTCCACAAATACCCACAGGATCTGTGGTAATGCCAAAAGTCTTCTGCAACAGGAACTCATATTTCATCTTATTGAATACTTTACTTTTTCATCAGAAATTCTTACAGCTTTTTACAGCAATTAATTATGTCTCCGGGCTAAAGCACTTTACCAATCTTACAGTAATAAAGTGAGGCACAGTACAAGAGAGAGAAAAGTCAGCAGAAAAATTACAGCAATGGACACATCCTCATGGTCCCTAGTTCTGCTGTGAAACCCCTGCCCTCACTGAACCCCACAATGCTGAAGAGTCAAAATGCAGGCCAGGGAAGAGACAGACTAAGCCTGTATCTATGTGTAAGTTTGAGCTCAAACTCAACTGCGCAAATTCAAGACCAGATTTTCCACGGGGAGCTGTGCTCTGTCCTTAACTATCTAATGCCAATACAAACACTGAGAGTATGACTGTAGTTCACTTGAGCAGCAGCCTCCAAAGTGGGGTGTGCACACCCCAAGTATGCAGAAGACAATCCATTGGGGCACGGGAATTATAAATAAAATAACTTTAATAAAGAAAATAACATGTAAAACCAGTGTTTATTTTGTCTTTATCTCATGCTTCTTAAACTTTTTTTGTGTATGCTCTGCACTGTATGTAGTATACTAGTAGAGTAGCACACACATAATTTATGAACAAACATATATTGAGGCTGCATGCTCAATTTATTTCTTTTTTATTGATAGGTGTGCAGAATCAAAAATGTTTGGAGACCACAGCACTAAAGCATGTTAGTAGCAAGTTCGACAAATTCCAGCTGTTTGAAGAAGTAAAAGAGAACAGCTACGCCTGCACTGTGTTTAGTCCACCTGTCTTTCTGAACGAGACACTATAAAGGAGCCATTAGGTCACGCAGCTGTCAAGAGAGGTTTTTCATGTAATTTCTAGCTTTGGCTCTTCATTTGATGGGGATAAAGGGACTGATCTGCCAATCTCCCATAGACTTTATCAGAATTGCGGTTGTTCAGCACCCTTAACAGTTAGGTGACTTCTGTTGTTCTATAGCCTTGCCTATCAGATACAAAAATAGATGAGTATTTTACCGCAAGGTCCTCTGAGATCCTCAAGTAAGACATGTCAGATCTGACCTGGCGCACATCAGCTGCTTCCGTGGTGCCTACTATACCGACTATATGAGTAGGACACTGCACCTTCAGCCCTACATCCAGAAGTATTACCATGTTCCAGTTGCTGTCAAAACGCTCTACAAGGATGAGTACTTGGGACCACAACTCTATCAAGATGTTTACGTCTTCCAGGAGAAGATCATTACCAAATCAGATGATGGCTGTGGTCTGGGCACTACAACATTGCCTCCTTGAAAATTCTCCTGTTACGCATTTATAGAAGGAAAGCCAACTGCTTTAACACAAGTAAATAGATACAGACTTTTCAAATAGCTGTATGTTTTGCTAAATGGCTTTTAACTAGCCTCTGTGCTGCAAAATTAGCAAAGGAAGTGGAGAAAGGGTGTTTTCATACCAGTGAGAAGCTTTTTTATGGCAAAAACAACCATGACCGCTGTTTCTTTTCCAGGATACAACTCTGGCACTGAGCAGAAGACTGTTAAAAACTGCAACGCAGACTGAAGGAACTGCAGGTTATCCCCGGCGCAGGGCAGCTCTCTCAGTATCTGAGAGTAAAACTTTTGGTACAGTTTAATACGGGGTTGCTCCAAAAACCTACTGGGCTCCTTCTGCCAGCCCTTCTTGACAGCATAGCTCAGATCTGCTTTGAGAAGAGTAGTGACAGATGGTATGAATGCTACAGGCAAAGGCTGGTTTTGGGTGTTACTCTGAAGACCATGTTCAACAGTCCTGACCATCTGCAGAACTACTGGCTCCAACAGAGCAGACCGTACATCTGCAGACTGCAGCTTCTTTTCTGGCAGCTGCTGAAGGTACAGTGTGACGACATGACACAGTGTGGTGAATGCCGTGAGCAGTAACTGCCCAGCTGCAGGATTCCAGTTTTTCCAGCCTTTGCTTTTGGCTGCACCAACGTCTGGCTTGCAGCTCACCAGGAAAGACATGAACTTTTCCAAGTTGAGCCTCACACTTTGCCTTCTTTCAATAATCATCTGAAGAAAGTTTTCCAAAAAGGCTTGGACTTCCTGGAGATACTGTGCCCAAACAGGAACAGTCATGACATCAGTGAAGAACTTGCTAGCTGTAAGCTGGGAGGTCATGACAGCCTCGAGAACATCGCTGGCGTGAAACACCTTAAAAACAAAAAAAGCCAGCTTGCAGGCACCTCAGGAGGTGGAAGCAGGTACTTAAAAACTTCAGCAATAACAGCTTGCTGCAAGAGACACTAGTCCTGGTGTTGGCTAGCAGGGACAGGAACACCAGAAAACACCGGGTACAGTCAGAGGGAAGAAGACTGTCTAGTTTCAGAAGAGAAGCAATTTCTAGCAAACCCAAGCAGCTCTCTAGCTGACTTTCTTTCAGAATGACAGGGCAGCCGTTTTTTGCTAACACCACTATACATTGGGCAACTTTCTCCAGTGTTTTCCAAGACAAGCTGACCTCATTCTTCAACAGTTTGTTTTCTGACGGTGCTTCCAACGGGTCCACAGGTCTGCAAGGAGCCAGGATTTCTTCATGCCATGAGATATTACCTGCAGACAGCTGTTGAAGTGGCAGATCTACTGAATCCTTGGCAGCAGTGGGCAGCACCCTAGTGAACTGATGAATAAGACTGGTCAGAAAAGCACAATGCAGGAGCCTCATTTCTGGGAGAAAGGAGCTATGCATCAAACCAAGAGATACTTTTCCAATGCTGATGGAAGGCTCCTGGTCTGTGGCACCTTCCTGAGCTTTGGACAATACTAACGTCTCTAGAAGCACATTTGCAATGTACTCTACATCTTCCACGGAAATAAACGGCAACAGGATAGTCAGGTTGGAAATGATGAGGTGCCAGTGTGCCGTGGGGTAGGTAAGATCACCTATCGCACTGATATCTCCATCCCATGGTTCAGATTCTCCCATGCTCACGCTGGATCTCCCAGACTCCAGGATGAAAGCTGCGGCATGCTGCAAGGCCTGTAGGTCAGCTTTGGTCTGCATTAAGATCATCTTCATTTTCTGAAGCGTGAGCAGTTCTATGCAATATTTACTAGTGGAGGGAAAACTATTTGCAAGCTCCATGACTCTCTCCCAACACTGCTCCTCTACAACAGGGAGGAAAGCTGAAATGCCCCAGTGCCTTGCAGCAGGTTCAGTAAGAGCACCAGCAATTCCAGCTGTTGGAGACACGTATTTACTGCAGCTAACCCCAAACAAAGTGTCTACCTCAACCCAAGTGTAAAGGAGGAGGAGAGCAGAGTCAGTGGCCTTTCTTAGCCAAAGGTCTGACTTCTCTTCCTCTCTTCTAGAAGCCTGCAGCAGCTCCATCAGTGGCTGAATTATTCCCTTCTGCATCTTTGCCAGCAGACTCTGAGTGCGAAGGACCACAGGGGAAGGAGTGATATCATCCAGGCTCCTCATGTTGAACAGAAAAGCATGCAGCACCGAGCTCACTGACACTAGCTTCAAGGCCATGTC